TACACATTTTCGTCATGACTGGGGTGATTAAATTGAAGTTTTGAACGTTGATAGATGCAAGATAGAAATATATATGCAATAAAAAAAAGGCTAGTCATATACATGTTGGTTAATTGTTTTCCATAGTAAGAGTGAAGTATAATATCTAGAGAGTCCCGATGATGATGATGAATGATGCGGGAAGAAAGAAAAAAGGATCGCAAGAAGGCATGGTCATGACCGTGAAGTCTCAACAGCAGCCACAAGCCTCATCGACCACACCAAGCGCACATGCATCCGCCCACAATCCGTGGATAAGCCCCATATGCCGTTGGAGCGCGACTTTATCAAGTGGTGATGTAGAGGAGGGGAAAAGCACATTGCTCAAATTCTCCGCATTCTTCGTATAAAGATACGATTGCAGCAAGGGGAACGCCGCAGGGGCCGGCAAGCAAAGGGGTACAACGGCAACAGTCGCACTCGTCCCAGATGTGTGTGTAGCCGAGGACGCAGGGAGTGCAGGGAGGTTCGCACAATGCGCCGCGAGGACGAGTTGGTGGGTAGGGAACAATGTGACTTTGCGTGGGGATGTGGTTGTTGTTGTTGGTCGGGAGGAATAGACGGCGAGCATGTGTGTTGGGCATACACCTGCTGGGTTGGAGATGGATACGTCCATCTCGGTTAGGAGTAAGGATTTGGGTGCTTGTGCTTTTAGGCTTGATAGACCCGCGAGCATTCTATGAAGAAAGTATATTAGAATCAAAGACGTAAGTAGGGAAAAAGGAGAAAACTCACTCAGAAGCGAACAAGGAAAGCCGTTCACGAACGTATTCAGGTGTAACACCCTTCAACTCTGGGTACGCAGACTCCACCAAAGCCATCTCGACTTCGTGCATTTGGGGAGTGAGGAGTGTGCGAGGGAGCTGCAGTGTCCGAAGGGGACTGTCAGTTTCAGCACCGTTGATGATGGCGGGTTTGGGAGCAAGGGGGACACGTGAGGCCCTCATCAAGCGAGCTTTCCTGGCGCTGCAGTGCTTGGTAAAGAGTCTTTGCACGTTGGGGCACCGGGAGCGGGAGGACGGGATCCTGCGGCGAGCGGTGGGCGAGCACCAGGCAGCCGCGGCGCTGGGAAAGGAGGTTGCGTGGAGACGGGCGATCATTGTAGTAGTAGGTGTTGGTGTTGTTGGTATCGGAGTGAGCTCGGTTGTTGGCTTGCGGAGGGATAAGCATTTTGAGACGAGGGAGGGAGGTTATATACGGCCGTGACAATGTCAGCTGTAATTTCTTGATTGTCTCGACGAGATTGGTCGACCCTTTTGAAAAGTTGCCTTTTGCGGAAGGTGTTTAGCTTTGACCACCCTTTCATCTTCCATTTACAGCAATTGTATATCACTGTGGGTCCACACCAATCCCCGCGCTCATCTCGTCACCTCCCTGAATGGGTAATTCACACAATGAATGGGTGACTTTCCGTAACTCAAATCTAGGGGTGCGCACCGTACCGTAACGGTATACGGCCGTATGCATTCGGTTGCATGACGGCGTCGGGTACACCGAAACCGTTACCGTCGAGTAATCTGCAAGCCAACCGCGGTACGGTCGGTGCAGAACACGACCGTAAACGGCCGTGTTCGGTGGCTTACAAGGAAAGAAAAGTAATTTAATTAACACTAGCTACTGGAGGTATATATTAGCGTTGATCATCAGCAAGATCGCACTTTGTTTGGGAGGGCTTGGGCCAGTCGTCCAATGTTGCCAAGATATCCGAGCACCCAAGTTTATCTGCTTGGCCAAAAAAGAGATCTGTTTTAATTAGCCGGAAATCGGCCAAATGAGACCCAAACGACCACAATTCTTCGCGACTTGGCCAAACGGCGTCGAATTTGGGAGGCTTGCAGACAGGTCAGAGCAGGTTCAATGGTGGAATTTTATATTGGGGGTACTCGGTAGACTACATAAATTGACTACGACCCTTTTATGCACATATACAATGCTTTTTGAATGCTCGGGGAAATGAATGTAAAGAATGTTGGCAGTCATCTAGGTACAGGTCAATAAAACAGCGAGGGAGAGAAGAAAAAAAAGCATACTAGAGTTCAATGAGAGTTCGCGGATCAACACCGTCCTCCTCCTCATCATTGTCAGCAGAAAAGATCCCTGCCTGGGTGTTTGCCTCAGTGAGAATCAATGCCCAGTCTTCCGGCGTGAGTCGCGTGGCTGCTGAGATCCAGGAGCGTGATTTTTCACCCCACTCACTCTTGCCGAACATGGATACAGTTTTTTTATTGCCTTTTTCATCCTTGATGGGATCCACACCAGAGGACCAGAGGGAGAGGGCACGTTCAAGCTGAGCTGATATTAGTATTCAAATGGTGCGAGGACTGTTGTAGCATACCGCGGCCGTGGACATTCCCAATCCTCTGACTGGAAGACCATAAGATTTTGCGGCGAAGGCCGTTTTCTTGAAGTGGCAGGTAAAGACTTGAAGAATGAGGTCGGACTGTAGTCCGCCTTTCTTGCCCTGTGATGATGATCAATGGAGGATGCCTAGGAAGATAGAGTTCAGTACATACCGGAGGGGCCATGGGATCTCGGTATATGAACTTGAAGTTGAGCCGCTCAGTTTTGCAATAAGTGATAATTTCATCTTGAGTGAGGGACTGCTCCCAGAAGAAGTTTGAGAGGATTTGTAGTGCGCTGGTTCCGATGTTGCTGCGCCAGTCAGTAAGGACATCCCCAGCCTATATGGAAGTTAGTGAAAGACATGAATGGTTGACGAAGGAGTGAGTCTCTTATGAGAGCGATGATGGTGTCAACAGGTTCCTCCGCCGTGGACTGTGTGTGTTCATACATATCGAGGTCTGGGAAGACCTCGTTCCATATGTCCTGGATGACAAGCGGCGTAAATGCGCCAATAGAACTGTAAGCGCAAAGCTCCACAGCTCCCCTGTCAATAATTGTTGCGTGCGCAACCTTCTTCCACTTTGCGACATATGCTGCACCCAAGGCACCACCAGGGAATGGAAGTGAGCTGGTGGTGAACTTGCCATGCTTGCCGCGACCTCTGGGTCCACTGGCGTTGACGTTGGTGACAGACTTCTCAGTAATCTTGATTTTCTAAGGGTGATAAAATCAAAGCTTTGAAAAGAAGGAGAAGACGATTAACTCACTGGTTCAACCCCCTTCTGTCCCTCTCGAACCTTGACCATTGACGGTTTTGATGCTCGCACAGCAGCCAGGCCCTCCGAGGTCTCCTCCTGGTCAAACTCACCCAAATCACAGTTGTCAAGTTGATCGTTGTCGACGTTTCAAGCAGGAGCGGTTTGTTTCTTCATACCAGACTGGTAGCCTACCTGCTTCTGCCAGCCAGGGAGTAAGCCGCCAACCGTTTTCTTTCCTCGCTTCGCGCTAGTTCAGTCCCCTATATCAACACAATGTCACTACAGCAAAATGTGTACTCACCTTGGTGCGTCCTCAACCGTTGCAACATCCTTGCATTTGTTTGTTGATACGACAGTGCCAGCAATGGCTGGATTCTGGCGGAGTTCCTGAATGTCTTGTCGAAATGTAGTGTTCGAAAGTCCGGTTATTGGGTGCCCAGGGGCTCTAACCGAGACCAAGACCAGTTAGCCTTTGTCCCGAAACCTAAAATAACCTAACCGGACCGCAACCAACCGGTTACGGTTGGTTATTTGCAGTTACTAACCGGTTAGGACCGAAAATAAAGAATCAGTTATAACAAGGCAAATATGCTCATATGTATCTTGATAGATATTATTTCTGCATATTCTAGCTTTAAAACGAGCCCAAGAACGCTAAAATCGGTGAAGAATTGACATATTTATGCAATTATCCTTGAAAGTCTACACATTTGAGTGATATTTTAGAGATTTGACCGTAACTTAGTCAAATTTTAAGCGTTTTCGACGTTCTCAAGTGCGTTTTGAAGGTGTATAATAGGGCTGGTTATAACTGGTTATTTAACAGTTAGTTAACCGCAAAATAACCGGTTATTCCATTTTTGAAATCAACTAACCCTAACCGCAGTTAGGTTAGTGTTGCAGTTAGGTCCGGTTATTTTCTGGTTAACTAACCTAACTTTCAAACACTATCAAAATGTTCCACAAGGTGGTGCCTGGAGAGGATGTGTCAGAGGGGATGTCGCACAAACTGGTATGTTACCTTGTTCTTTTTGGCCTTTGCGACCTGTTTGCCTTTTACAGAAGGCGGCACAGCTTCTTCATCATCAGTTTGGTTCTGTTCCATCATGAAGTCTTCGCCATCTTCTCCTTTGTCTTCCCACTCGCCAACTCCCAAACCATCGCTCTCGCTGTCAACCATCAACTCAGGGGGGATGCCTGTCATGCCATCTGAGAGGCCCCTGTCTGCATCAACATCAATGGCCTCGTTGGCTGCATCCCCCTCCACTGGTTCTTCGGACCTCATCAATGCACTTGAGGGTGGACGTGTAACACAGTAGGTAAGTCCTTTCTGGCGGACGACTGGAATCTTCATTGAATCATCCACCAGCATAGGTACCGTGTTCCTGACTCGTGCTGTCGTCGCCTTGCAAATATAGGCAGAAGTTAGATTCGGGTAAGCATGGATTGGTGGTATTTACATACGCGGTTGGTAGAAACTGACGACTTGTGAAGGTCTGGATGCATAGCCTGACTGGCACTTGCGCAGTCCACAACACGGATGCTGTCCTCAAGTTGGGCGATCCGAGCCTTCTTCGCAGCTTCCTTGGTCGCTGCAACTGAGGCGGTAGCTGCAACAATGGCAGCTGCTGCCTCATTATCAGCCTTGACTTGGGCAGAGGTGCATCATTTCGTTGTGCTATTGAGAAGGATCTGTGCAGGATGCTGATTAGCATTTGCACGCTTAGGACAACTCGCCGACATATTGGAAGACATTGGAATGTGTTGAATGCAACAGAGGGGAGGGTGATGAAGAAGTTGGGAAGAAAATAATCGGGTCTTTCACTACCCGATGGCCGTGTGTCCACCCATAAGAAAATTTTCACTAACCGGATGAAGGGCCGGTCCCACTAACTTGGAGTTTTTTTCAGCCGTTAACTTGGAGTTTTTTTTAGCTGTTCTCCTCTCATCATCGACAATGCTTCGCATTCACTGTACTCACGCTGGTTGCCCACAGCGCTTCAAACGTCAACGGGGCCTCACCTACCACCTCCGCACTGTACACCGAAACTCTAATTGGGTTAATTCTGACGTCCCTTCTGTGGGCGAAGATTTTCACGATTTGGATGGCCTTGGACACATCTCACCAGGTGCCGAGAGTGCACAACCTTCCTGGTCCCAACCTCCCTCACCTGAGCCCCAACAAGCCCCTCCACCGAGGCCGTCACAGATTTTTCATCTGCACCTCACTGGTAAGTCATGACATTTTCTTTTGTATGCATGGTTCTCACTCCACATAGGTGTCCCCTGTGATTCCGAAGGAAATCCACTTCCTCCTGGTACACCACCTCTTCCCAGGACAGCTGCACAGCCGACAGATTGGTCACCGTTCGAGAGTGAAATTCAGTTTCAGACCGTGGATTTCTTGTACCGCCGCGTTGAGATGTCGGCAGGAAACATTGATGAACTTCTGGAGATATGGGCTTTAGATAAGATGAAATCTGATCAACTGGGTCCCTTCACCTCATACGAACATATGTACTCCAGCATCAATGCAATTCAGCTTGGTGATGCACCATGGAAATGTTTTACTGTGAGCTATACCAGGGATGTACAGCCTAGTGATCCCTCTTGGAAGTCAGCGGAGTACGGGGTCTGGTTTCAGGATCCTGAGGTCATCATGACCCAGATGCTTGACAACCTGGAGTTCAATGGCCACTTCGATTATGCACCTTATGTTGGTCTTGACAGATCTGGGAAGTGGCGTTGGAGTGACTTCATGTCAGGCAATTATGCTTGGCGTCATAGTGTGAGTCTAGATCATTTACTTCCGAAACTTTTATTTCAAGTTTGTCTCATTTCTAGGATAAAATCTATGAAGAAGATCCCACTACAGAAGGAGCATTGTACTGTCCCATCATTGCGGGCAGTGACAAGACAACTGTTTCTGTTGCAACTGGCCATGTCGAGTACCACCCATTTTACATCTCTGGTGACAACCTCTTCAACACAGTTCGCTGCACACACCGTAACACCATCGCGCCTGCTGGTTTCTTAGCGATCCCCAAAAGTTCATAAAATATGACTGCCAATATTTCGTAACTAATGACATTGCCAGGTGACCGAAAGTATGATAACGACCCTGCCTTTCGCAAGTTCAAGCGGCAGTTGTACCATGACTCGATCACGGCTATCCTGAAGACATTCCGTCCAGGGATGATCAAACCTGTGGTCCACCACTGCCCTGATGGCCATTTTCGGCATGTGATCTATGACCTTGCCGCCTACATCGCTGATTACCCCGAGCAGGTTTACCTTGCCGGAATTGTTCAAAATTGGTGTCCAAAGTGCATTCATTTTTTAGAAACTTTAAGCTTTGATTAAATCCCTATCCAGATGCACGGCTCTTCCAACAAACCTAGATGGGTTGGCAGATAGCCGCTCACGACAATTCACAGAAGGGCTTGTCAATGAGCTCGATTCGAAAAGATTATGGGATGAGTATGGTATTGACGACGACATTACCGTGAGTTTTTCTCATCTTCAACAAACATCCATTCTTATCACTCTACAGCCATTTACCTTCCACTTTCCATGCGCCGACATCCACGAAATGCTGTCAGCAGATCTACTCCATCAATTGATCAAGGGTACATTCAAAGACCATTTAGTCCAATGGGTCAGCGATTACCTTTACCTCGAACATGGCGAAGCTCGGGCTAATGAGATTTTGGATGACATTGACCGCCAGTTGGTACCTTCTTCCTTCCCACTGTCGAGATTACTCTGAAACCTGTCAAGTATCGCAGCAGCACCATTATTTTCAGGACTTCACCACTTTCCTCATGGTCGCCAGTTCAAGCAGTGGATGGGTGATGACTCAAAGGCTCTCATGAAGGTAAAATCTTTTTTGTTAGGTATTGTACCATTACTTAAAACAAAAATAGGTTTATCTTCCAGCTATCTTGGGATATGTACCCCCCAAAATGGTGCAATGTATCAGCACATTTTTGGATGCCTGCTACATTGCCCGTCGAGCCGACATCACTCAAGAATCACTTGCTGCGCTCCAGACGGCCATTGAGAGGTTTCACACACACCGTGAAATTTTTTGTACATCCGGTGTTTGACCTACTGGCTTCAACCTTCCCCGCCAACACTCTCTTGTCCACCTCATCCATCAAATCCAGGAGTTTGGGGCTCCTGGTGGGCTATGTTCATCAATCACTGAGTCCCGCCACATTACTGCTGTCAAACGGCCTTGGCGTCGTTCAAATCACTATGAAGCTTTGGGGAAGATGCTGCTTACCAATCAGCAGCTGGACAAGCTCCTTCGAGCATGCGCGGATTTCATTGAGCGTCGGATGCTTCCCCCTTCCCATTTGCCACCTCCAAAACCTATCATACCCCTCGGCGATGATGATGAGGACACTGGCGTCATCGACAAGTACGTGACTGGGAATGTTGCACTGGCAAGAACCCAAAGTAAGTTTTCTTTCAATCTCTACTACTTTGCTGTCACTAATCCATACTTTCTAGTACGAGCTTATCCACGCCACCTCGCTGAGTTGGCCAACCACATCGGCTGCCCTCCACTCATTGAACTTACCCGACGTTTCCTCTATGACCAACTCCACACAGATGACGGCACCTCATCAGCCGACATACCCATTCAGCAATGCCCATATCCAACAAGCAAGGTGTCTGTCTTTCACTCCGCCGTCGCCACCTTCTATGCACCAAGCGACAAGTCAGGCATTTGGGGCATGCGAACTGAGTGTATACGGTCCACTCCATCTTGGCAAAAGCACAGGCCACACGATTGCGCGTTAGTAGTTGAGGACCAAGACAAGCCGGGCATGAGGGGGATGAGTGTGGTCCAGGTAAAACTTCTCTTTTCATTTGAGTATGATGGGAAGACATACCCATGTGCGCTTGTCGATTGGTTCAAACGTGTGGGCATGGCACCCAATTCGGAAACAGGGATGTGGAAGGTTCGACCTGAGACATACCGGAATGGTCAACGTATTGTTTCCATTCTCCACCTTGACACTTTCCTTTGTAGTGCACACCTCTTACCTGTTTTCGGGCAGGATGTTCTTCTGTTTGACTTCCATTTTTCTTATTCACTCGATGTGTTTGAATCATACTTTGTCAATAAGTATGCTGATCACCATGCTCACGAAATTTGCTTTTAACATGTAGTACCACATTGTAATAAAACTTGTTTAGCTTGCAGTAATTACCTTGAATTGAGGTCTTGGCTGAATTGGGGTTTTTTGGAAAATTTTGGTCTGGGTTGGGATTGAACTTGGAATGCTTGGCCGATTTTTCTGTCTTTCGCAAGCAGCTCAAACGTGCCAACTGTCACAAGCGCCGCCAAACAATGTGCTATCTTGCTGATGATCTTTCTTTGTAAGGTTGACATGTGCAAGCCTGAGGCGATTTTTGACCAACATCAGCACTCTGATGGTATCTGGAATGAGGCTGGCACGTCGTAGAGAGATAGTATCATGCCCCCCAGAAAATATACGTTCAATGGCAACTGCAGAACCTGTGGTACTGGTGAGTGATCGAAAATGAACTTAAAAACATTGGTGAACATACCTGGAATCGAGAAAAGGTCGCGTGCGAGGCGATAGAGGTTAGGAAATTGTGACCGTCTCCCAAGCCACCATTCCAGGGGTTTACAGGTATCAAAGTCTTTGCGTGTTAACTTGTAAAACTCATCCAGCTCGTTGACGACTACCCGGTCTTCCTTTTGGTAGCACGATGTCAAATTTACCTTTTCGGGTGAGTGGGGGGCACTACCACTGGCTGAAGGAATGGATGAACTTGATCGTGATGATTGAACAGGGGTTCGACGAGTCCGATTTGCATAGTTTTTGTTGAAAAATGTCTTCAATTGATCCCGCCCATTGTTCAAATCAGCGAGAAGTGTGGGGTCCGAAGCACAGTCTCTTCTAAGCCCTACATACATGATCTGAGGATCAAGTACTGGAAATAAAGGTCAAATTTCAGAAAGAAAAAACGAAGTAGAGGAAGGAATAAAGCATACAAGAAGCCCAAGTATAATATGGGGACTCATCCGAACGATAATAGTAGTCACTGAGTTTTTTGTGAGCCTCAATCAAGCCGTTTCTCAATTGATGTGGTGCAGAGTCAGGAAGATCTGCCAACGCTTGGTGAACATGGTCTTGTAATCCACGGAAAATGGCATGGACAGTGGAGAGCATGGGCTCTTTCGTCTTGGACATGTCAGTAGTAGTTGAATGAAAGACCTTGAGCCAGCCTGCAACAAGACGTATGGCTGACCAGTCAGCGGCATCGAGCTCCAATGCACGGAGATCTCGGTGGCGCCCAACAAACTCATCGATTTCCTTCGCAAAGTCTAAGGCACGTCCTACATGACTACTGAGTAATGACCAACAAAAGAAGAATACAGAAGTTGACGTACACAGCATTTGATGTGTCGAAGACCAATGAGTTTTAACATCTAAGATAAGCATCAACGCATGTTGTCGCTCAACACTGTTCTTGCCCCGAAATGAGTCTTCAAGTTGCTTGAACCATGCCTGCTTCCACTGAGGGCTGGAACGAATTGTGCGGATGACTTTACAAAGCTCAAAATATCATCAGCTCAAGACTTAAGCTATGTAAACAATCGACTCACCTTTTCAATGGCAGGCAATATATTGCCCGACGCATCAGGGGATAAACTAACCTCCTCCTCTTGGTCTCCATCATCTTGCGCAGCAGCGTCGTCATTGTGAGAATGACCGAGAGGTGCTGTTGTGGAATCTTGATAATTGCCACTTCTGGACGTGGCCTTTTGGGCTTCCGTCTTGGAGATGGCCCCGATTGCCTCAAGTAACTGCAAGGTAACATGAGCTTCAGTATCATAAACTACAAATAATTGATGAGATGAACCTTGATGGCAGCAAGATGGATAGTGTGTGGCATGCAACGAAGACGGGCCCAAGCCGCGTTGAGATGGATACCCTCTTTGGCTGCTCAGGACTCAATTCCTTCGACCATAGTATCATTGTTTGAAGCATTGTCAAGCATAAATGCAAAAATCTGTGTGCGAAATTAACAGTTCATTTCTTGTGAACTTTTAATTGAAAAATTACTCACATGGTCTTCAATTCCATATCGTTTTAATGTCTCCCATACAACTTCTGCCATGTTTTCACCTGAGTGTTCACCAACGAGCTCTCAAAAATCAATGAGCAATTCTTCTTTAAGTATGTAAATACTCTGTAAGAATAATGACAGGAATTATTAGTTACCTAGCTTTCCTTCCTTATTTATATAATGGGTGATGATGGCAAGAAAAGCGTAGTTATTACTGGATGTCCAAGCGTCGAGCGAGAGGCTGATCTTTCCAGGGACCTCATCCTGATGACAATATGAGACATATTCCATTCGGAATTGAAACATTGAATCTTACCTTGAACATTTGCTTGGTGGACTATCTTCACCCATCTCCATTACTCGACGTTTAATAGTGTTGCAGTGTGGAATTTGGAGGGTGGGAGCGGGATGGTGGGTGTATGTTAAGAGCTCATGAAGCTCGGGCCTATCAACCTCTTCAAATGGCTGGTCACAGACTATGATCCATTCAGCAAGGAGCTGCTTGAATTTTCCTTGATCCCAAGGATCCTATGAATTATAAGTGACTTTTAAACAACAAATAAAAGTATCAAATGACTTATGGCAGCATTGACGGCCTGCTTTTCAAATGCGGCACGAATGTTTTCAGAAGCTGTCTTGAGGTTCTTGAAGAACTCCTTGGATTTTCTGGGGTCGAGGACCTTTTCGCCAGAAGCGATTCGGATTTTGTCCTCAGTAATAAGTTGATTGGAAGGCCTCTCTTTCAACGCAACGAAGAGCTGGAACATGCTTGGTGAGCATGCTTTCAAGTTGTTTACCATGGCTAAAAACAACAGAGTTAGGCTACAGCGATGTGTCGCAATTATGTTACTTACATGTGAGGTTCGATTTTCCGGTTTTCTTGAGAGTGAAAATTTTGCGATTACTGTGGCAGCACTGGAAATGTTTGTCGCCAGGGTTCCCAACCCCCCCATCAGCACCACGGGCGAAACTTTTATAGAAATAGTCTATGGGATTCTTTGTTGCAGACTAAATGGGTTGTTTATTAGTCAATCATACAAGAAAATCTAACACGAACATACTTTACTCTTTGTCTTGTTACCAGATGATGATCCTACTTGATCCAAAGGTCGGATCTCTTCCAAAATAGTGTTTTCATCGTCTGGACTCAGAGAGCATTCGGAAACTTGATGTGGACTGTCCTCGTCCTCAACCTTGATAATGGTTGGGGCGGTACGCTTTTGTTTTTTTGTTCCAGATCTGCGGCCCATCATTGGGAGAGTCTTCGAGAGAAGGACAGAGGCAAGCTGACAATTGTTGATGAGTAAAAAAGCCAGTGGAAACAAAAGCGATGTACCTCTGCATTCGAAACTGCTTCAACTTCAATAGAGCTGTCGCTGGACTCTGAATCCGATGAACCCATCGTGAAGTCATCATCCTTGTCATCGCTCTCAACACCAGTATCCGGCTTAAGTTTCTTTGCACAGGGCTTGTGAGAGCATTTGGCACGATTTGCTGCTTGAGGTTGCTTTGGCGGGATCGGCTTGCCGTCAGAATCTAAGGCCTCAGCTGCAATATAGTCAGCCATTTTCGCCCCTCGACCACTTTGTCAACCATCTGAAGTGCTGGAATCAGACGTTGTTCAAGAATAAAAAAAGAAATTGACCTGTTATCACAGCAGGCAAAGTGGATGCAGCAAGACGTGGAAGAGAGCGGCTGTCTGATTCAGAGTGGTACCAATCTATGTTGTCGGCGTCTTTGAGTTGACCAGATGTGTCCATAGCGCATCCGAGTTCTGTAGGCATTGTGGAAAAGAGTGCGTAGTGTCTCCTCTGAAAACATACCATATAAATATGGAGCTTGCAGGCACATTTCCCCGTGTTTCATGGTGAAATTGCAAGCCGCAATATATCAAGAAATCACTGTTGTCAGCCACAAGGATTGTTAGAATTTGAAATGCGCATAAAAGATTATGAGGGGGCATAAGTGTACAAACCTTTGAAAGAATCGCCTTGGGCATGCGGAATTCACAAACTTGATTACGACAAAAAGAAGCCTTTTCATTCATGGCATAGTGTACAGAAAGAGTGAAAAAGTAAGAAGTAGTGCTGTGACAGGTTCCTATGGGATGAAAGACAATGATGCAACAGGTATCTGTAGGCACGTTGCGTTGAGAACAAGGAACAAATGATGATTTGTCGACCGCAGGAGACTGTTGATAACATTTGAAATTAAAACACTGACAACGGCCGTTTCCGACCGTCAACTATTATTCTTGTCGGTTATCTACCATACCGTCGCCATACCGATAGATGACTTTCACTGAGGCACACGATACAGTGCGGGGGCCGTATATTCACGGCCGTACATCGTAAGTTTGGCAGCGGTGTGCAGCCCTACTCAAATCTATAAAAATGAATAAATTTGACCCTTATTGGAGTTTGAAACGAGAACTTCAGATGGGTGGTAACCACTTTTATGATAAAAACCAGACATCTACCTGGAGGGCGATATCCTCAGTGCCTAGAGGTTTAATGAGATGTCTCATTCTTTTTGCCTGACATTTTCATTCATTAAGTTCTCTGGATATCTCATTTTTCTTTTCATATAGAAGCCTGGAAATTTCAATGGATATTTCATTCTTAGCTCTGGGATATTTCATTGCACTTTTCATTTGGATGCCTGGTGATTTCAATGTATATTTCATTCTTGTTCCTAGGATATTTCATTGCGCTTTTCATTTGGATGCCTGGCGATTTCAATGGATATTTCATTCTTGTTCCTAGGATATTTCATTGCGCTTTTCATTTGGATGCTTGGCGATTTCAATGGATATTTCATTGCGCTTTTCATTTGGATGCCTGGCAATTTCAATGGATATTTCATTCTTGTTCCTAGGCTATTTCATTGCACATTTCATATATATATCTGGTGCTTTCAATAGATATTTCATTGCACTAAAAATAGCTATAAAATCAGATCAAATTAGAAATTGATAGGAATGGTGTATGGGATGTCAGGTACCATTTTCAGGCTCCACTATGCACATCCAGTAAAGAAAATATCATTGGAGATGACCAAAAGGTTGAAGAAACCAAGATGAGAATGATGATGCATGTCAGGGTCAGGTTGTTGGGGAGGGTGGTCACATGATCAATGTCCTAAAATGGTCAAAAATGAAAGTTGTAGCCCTGCACTGTAGCTTCCAGAATGTGTTTGAATTATGTTCTAAAGTGCTCCCATTGTGGAGATATGAGGCAAAGAGTTTTTCTTATTGCTGGCTTTTTTCAACCTTTTTGCATTTTTCTCCATCAAAACAACACCAATCAAGATGATTTCAACACATTTAGAAAGGTAAAAGAAAAGGCTACAATTATTATATTGTGGGAAAAATGACCAAAAAAGGAAAATGCATAACCTAAAAGGGACATTGACACTGACAGACCACAAAAGACCACAAAAAGTTGAACATAGACTACAAACTTTATTGATAGACCCCAAAAGACTACAGAAGTCAGACTTACACTACACAGGTTAGTGATAGCTACAAAAGTTGGACAAAGACTAGTATGCTAATGGACTACAAAAGACTACAAAAGTTGGACATAGACTACAAAGTTTACTGATAGACTACAAAAGACTACAAAAGTTGGCAAGGTTAGGGTTAGTGTTAAAAGGTCATCCAATGTCACCATGCCCCATCCATCCCATTCAAGGCAGATATTTGATGGGGAAGTCGCTGGGGCATGTACAGAAACATTGCAGGGACCTTACTCCAAAAATTACCAAAGGAAGTAGTGTCCACTTTTTGAGACTACAGTAGTTTTTAGTGTCTGCTTTTTGAGACTACAAAAGTCTGTAGTCTCTGCTTTTTGAGACTACAAAATTTTGTAGTCCACTTTGCTGACATGTAGGTTGTAGTGTTCAGACTATGTAGAGGTTCATGTGGATATCATTGAGGGACATGACTTCAGATATTGCCATTGCTGCATCATTAGTTTTTGACAACATGCCCCAGCTGCCCTTCACATCGAAAGAGGCTATTCTTTGCTTTCATGTTGATCCCAACTGTCCAATTTCAATGCATACGTAGCTCTGGTATAGATGCTTTGAGGACTATAATACTGTGTTGATCATGGGCTGATTGGTCCTTGGAGGTGTTCTTACATTCAACACCAAAGTCACATCATGATGCAAAAGGTATACCAAATTCAAGGTTGCTGAATCCTAACTGAAGATTGACAGAGAGACTTGGCCCTGCTGTCCTTCATCTTGATTCATGGATGAGTATAGCTAAGAATCATATAGGATTGTAGCCCTCAAATAAATCATACCAAAGTGAAGTATGCTTAGAGATAGAAGAGTAGTTATCAATATGAAAGTGTAGAATAGCCTCTTCTGATGTGATAGACAACCTGGGCATGATGTTAAAAACTGATGATGCAGCAAGGTTAATTAATAGGTGGTGTGAAGTGTTCACTCTGAACTTCTTGCATAGCTGAAGCCAAGAGGGAAGGATGAGGCAAGAATGGGTGGATCTGGGATCAACACCCATGGGTGAGCAATGAGCAGTTACAAGATGCTCAGCTGGCCCAACATGATTATGCATACTGTAGAAAGTACAGATATACAAAGCACTACATGTAGTGCAAGAGGATGGCAAGACTGCTGACAAGATGGTGGTTCAAGACAAAAGATCAATATATTATGTAAGATATCCAAATCTAGCTATATACCACTGTTTGACTATGGCCTCTGGGGATTCCCTTCCAATCCTATATCACAGGTGGGAAGTCATCTGAATCCTTCAACATTATCCCCATAAACCTCTACATAGTCCAGACACTACAAACTACATGTCAGAAAAGCAGACTACAAATCTTGTAGTCTCAAAAAGTGGACACTACAAACTTCCTTTGGTAATTTTTGGAGTAAGGTCCCTGCAATGTTTCTGTACATGCCCCAGCGACTTCCCCATCAAATATCTGCCTTGAATGGGATGGATGGGGCATGGTGACATTGGATGACCTTTTAACACTAACCCTAACCTTGCCAACTTTTGTAGTCTTTTGTAGTCTATCAGTAAACTTTGTAGTCTATGTCCAACTTTTGTAGTCTTTTGTAGTCCATTAGCATACTAGTCTTTGTCCAACTTTTGTAGCTATCACTAACCTGTGTAGTGTAAGTCTGACTTCTGTAGTCTTTTGGGGTCTATCAATAAAGTTTGTAGTCTATGTTCAACTTTTTGTGGTCTTTTGTGGTCTGTCAGTGTCAATGTCCCTTTTAGGTTATGCATTTTCCTTTTTTGGTCATTTTTCCCACAATATAATAATTGTAGCCTTTTCTTTTACCTTTCTAAATGTGTTGAAATCATCTTGATTGGTGTTGTTTTGATGGAGAAAAATGCAAAAAGGTTGAAAAAAGCCAGCAATAAGAAAAACTCTTTGCCTCATATCTCCACAATGGGAGCACTTTAGAACATAATTCAAACACATTCTGGAAGCTACAGTGCAGGGCTACAACTTTCATTTTTGACCATTTTAGGACATTGATCATGTGACCACCCTCCCCAACAACCTGACCCTGACATGCATCATCATTCTCATCTTGGTTTCTTCAACCTTTTGGTCATCTCCAATGATATTTTCTTTACTGGATGTGCATAGTGGAGCCTGAAAATGGTACCTGACATCCCATACACCATTCCTATCAATTTCTAATTTGATCTGATTTTATAGCTATTTTTAGTGCAATGAAATATCTATTGAAAGCACCAGATATATATATGAAATGTGCAATGAAATAGCCTAGGAACAAGAATGAAATATCCATTGAAATTGCCAGGCATCCAAATGAAAAGCGCAATGAAATATCCATTGAAATCGCCAAGCATCCAAATGAAAAGCGCAATGAAATATCCTAGGAACAAGAATGAAATATCCATTGAAATCGCCAGGCATCCAAATGAAAAGCGCAATGAAATATCCTAGGAACAAGAATGAAATATACATTGAAATCACCAGGCATCCAAATGAAAAGTGCAATGAAATATCCCAGAGCTAAGAATGAAATATCCATTGAAATTTCCAGGCTTCTATATGAAAAGAAAAATGAGATATCCAGAGAACTTAATGAATGAAAATGTCAGGCAAAAAGAATGAGACATCTCATTAAACCTCTAGGCACTGAGGATATCGCCCTCCAGGCAGATGTCTGATTTTTATCATAAAAATGGTTACCACTAGTGAACTTCACAGGAGAGTTTATTGGAGTGAATAAACCGTAACGCCAACTGATTAGATTCTATTTGATGTATTTGCTTGCCTTGTACAAACTCACTTCCCTCCCATCTGAGCTGCTCTGAGGTCATGTAGGCCCATGGATGGGTTTATTATACTGATTGTTCATCCACCCCCTGGGTGAAGCCCAAAAAATTCCAAGTTGAGCTGAACATCAGTACTTTACAGTGCCCCACCTATTCCTGCAGGAATCCTGCAGGAATTCAGTCATTCCACTGGAATTCCAGAGGATTCCAGTGGAATTCCAGAGGAATACAGTGGAATTACACTGGAATCCTCTGAACTCATGTAAATTTACCAGTACATGTCCTGATCAGCTAAAGTCATGTGACTTAATAACCAACTTAATACTCAGAATAAATTTTAAGTCAATAAACCAAATTATATTATATTTAAAATGACATAAAACATATTTTATTATATACTACTATATACAATCTATATTTAAGGAAGGAGAGGTACAAGGAAAGGGGGTGGGGACAAGGGGAGCAGGCTATGGAGAAGGAAAGGGGCAGGGAGAGGGAAAGGGGTAGGAAGGGGTGGAGAGTTATGGAGGGGGTGATGGAGAGGGAGGGAGGGGAAGGGGGGGATGGAGAGGGGAGGGAGGGGAAGGGGTGATGGGGAGGGGAAGGAGGGGAGTAAGGGAGGGGGAGGGGTGGTGTAGTGTACATGGTTGTAGACATGTTGGCGTGAACATGTTGTCGTGTCGTCGTCGTCATCCGTAGCATCGTTCTGTGGGTGCTGGGTGACGTAGACATGTTGGCGTGGACACGTCGTTGTTGGCGTAGACGTGTTGGCGTGGACACATCGTCCCATTGTCGTCTGTTGTCGTCGTTGATGTGGACATGTCATCCCGTCGTTGTTGTCGTCCGTGGCATCATTCTGTGGACGCTGGGTGTCGTTTTGTCAGTACTTATCACTCCCCCACCTATTCCTACTGGACTCCAGGACTCCAGTAAGATTCCTACTGGATTCCAGGACTCCAGTAGGATTCCCACTGGATTTCAACAATTCTTCCAAAAAAGGCATACTCCACCTATGG